AAGGTCATTCGATTAGCAGTTAAAAGTGGGACACTGGGGCTGGGGACATAGTACACGGGCCAGGCCCTGGATTCTGCCCCCAGCACGACACATAAATACATGCCTACATAGCAAGTCCTATTAGCCAGTTCACCTTGTGTCATTGCAGGCTTCTAGCTGTGCAACCTCGAAATGATTTAACTTGTTTAGGTCTCCTCACCCCTGCTCTGTAAAATAGGTGAGTTTAAGACTAATTGGTACCTATAGAACATTGAGTGCCTCCAAGCGCTTGGTAAGTGCCTCCAAGCTCTAATGGCTAAGGAGATTAAAAGAAATACAAGCAGTGTACCCTGGCTCGTGCCTGTAATCCCAGCACTCTGGGAGGCTGAGACAGAAGGATCACGTGGTCCAACCCAGCCCAAACAATTTAGTAATTCAGCAAGACCCTATTTCAGAATACAGAAGTGAAAAGGGGCTATGGCTGTGGCTTAGAGTGAAAGCTCTGGGTTTGCTCCTGGGCAGGGTTTGAGGATAAGAAATCTAACCCATCCTTATTCATAGAATAAGGTTTGTGGACTCCTGTGAGGCGAAAAAGAATTTTGAATACTGGTCAGAAAGAAGAAAGGACAGGAGTTATTAGGCAGAAATTTAAAAGCTCACATCCTAGACTGGAGTGGTATTCAGAGAGACAGGGGCACATTATTTCCTGACAGTGGTAACATTTATGCTTCTTTTGATGACGTGAAAACTCCAGGAAAATCTATCCCGCCCCCCCCAAGGAAATTGGTCTGCTTTCCTAGTATGAGCCTAGTTCTTGTTTTTTTCTTTTTAAGATGGATAATTTAACTGTTCTTTGAATTCTCTTAACATGTATCTAGTCAGGTATGGTGCACTTATAATTCCAGCACTCAGGAAGCTGAGGCAGGAGGATTGCTGCAAGTTTGAGGTCAGCCTGGACTGCACAGTGAGACCTTGTCTAAAACAAAATAAAACAAATCTTAGGATCAGGTTCCTGCATTTTAATTTTTTAAAACTATACCAATTTATGGACTTACAGTATTCTTAAGAAGTTTGGGCATGATGGATCTGAAAAGAATTTAATGTGTGTGTGTGTGTGTGTGTGTGTGTGTGTGTGTGTGTTTGAGACAGGATTTCGCTATGCAGCCAGCAGAAACCTAACTTTTTAATTGTAGCTATTTTAGTTACTTTTCTCTCATTACTGAGACAAAATACCCAAAACCCACAAGTTAAGGAAAGAAAGGATTAGATAGCTCACAGTTTGTAGAGGTTTCAGTCTATAATTGGCTGACTTTAGGACTGGGTGGCTTTGCAGAGAACAACAGTTCGTGGTCGGCAAAAGACAGCAAAATCAACCACCAAAATTTGTGTTTCTCTGCCCTTTTTACACTCTATCTAGGCTTCTGGGGTAAGGGCAGTGCCAAACCAATCAGTGAAATGATCATCCACCCTTAATCCCAGCACCACACACTCTAGATTCAGCCACCTCTGAAAAGCCTCCCAACCCCCATGACCGCATGAGGCTTTGGGGGGATATCTAGACACAAACCACAGCAACAGCTAATTTAATTGTTGAAAGGTTCTTGCCCTAGTAAAAATTACTGTATAATTATGGTGGTGGTCTAACGTGGCAGAAAGCCAAAGCAGGAATGCTTACCACTTCTTGCTTCTTCCGCCCTAATTGCAACTCTCCTTCCTGTTTGCAGGCACAGAGAATCCCAGTCGGTTCCTCACATGTCATCAATATGTGCCCCACGCGGCGGCTTCAATCAGAGAGGTTATATAACCCTCTGCCTCTCTGTTAAAGGAGACAGCCCAACCGCCATGGGTTACGTGCTCCTTTCCATGTCCTCAATTCAGTAAACTTGTTCATTTTGTTTCTCTATTGTGCCAGAATACTCTAACAATTATACATAAAAATAAAATTTGAAAATAACATTTGCTGGAGTGGGCACAAAAAGGAGGCAGGTGATTAGGGTACATAAATAAAAGCAGCTGGATAAATGGGCACGGCCTATCAATCAGGGAGATCTGGGACATGCACAGAAAAACAGTTCTCAAAACCCGGCACCTGGGACCAATAAGAAAATGCTATATTCAGTTCTTCTGATGAAAAATCAAGAACATTTTGATAGGTTGGCCTAGATTTGACCTTAGCCTGAAGAGTGGGAGGTATAAAAATGGTTGATCTTGGCTGCTGTGTTCTTTCTCTCTTTAGTGGCCTGGAAAGGATACTTCTTTTCCTACCTGTACCTGGCCAGCACTCACTCTGAATATTTCTTTTCCTACCCTTAATACTTTGGGGGGGGGTGGTACCAGGGGTTGAACTCATGACCTCATGCTTATTAGGCAAGTACTTGAGCCTCTGAGCTAAATCCCCAGCCCCAATACTTTTAATAAACATAAAACCTTGCTACCTCTTGTGCTTATCTTGATCAATTCTTTGTTCAGGACAAGAACCTAGAAAGCATATCTAGAAAGAGCCTATAGCACCCGGACACTAGAAAAAACTCTGGAGAAAACAGAGACGTGTCCCAACAGTGGAGACAACGGAAACAAATTGGTCCAGGCACAGGAAAGATTCATTAAGGACAAATGTGAAGGGTTCTTGCCCTAGTATAAATTACTGTACAGTTATGGCGGTGGTCTAACATGGCGGAAAGCCAAAGCGAGAATGCCTACCACTTCCTGCTCCTTCAGCACTAATTGCAACTCACCTTCCTGTTTGCACAGAGAATTCCAATTGGTCCCTCACATGTCATCAATATCCGCCCCATGCACGGATTCAATCAGAGGTCATATAACCTTCTGCCTCTCTGTACCTGGTTGAAGGAGACAGCCCAGCAGTCATGGGTTTTGTGCTTCTATGACTTCAACTCAAAAAACCTGTTCATTTTGGACTTCTGCTTCTCTATTGTGCCAGAATAATCTAACAAAATGTAAAAGCACACATTCAAAAGTGGAGTAGAGTCGTTTAGAGAGAGAAGGATACATTATTTTTTAGAACTGGGAACACGTATGCTTCTCTTGATGGGATGGAAATTCTGAGAAATTCTGGGAAAAGGTGACCTACCACCTAGAAAAGGATGATCAGTTTTACCATTATGTGCTCACTTTTGGTTTTTTTGTTTTAAAGATGGATAATTTAAAACATTCTTGGAATTCTCTCAATCTATTCCTTTATCTTAGGATCAATTTCATTCTCTCTCTTTTTCTTAAAACATCTCAGCTCCTGCCTCTCCCAAAAGTACAATTTTTAGTAAAACTTTTTTTGAGCTAAGCTCTATGTAATTCAAACTGGCCTTGAAGTCACTATGTAGTCTACACTGGCCTCAAACTTAGGTCAATCCTCCTGCTTCTGTCTCCTGAGTGTTGGCATTACGGCTGCACCATCATGCCTGACAAAAGTGCCATTTTTATTGTCTCCTATTTGTCTTATTAATTAATTAATTAATTAAGTTTTTTCTTCTTTTTTTTAAAGACAGAGTCTCAGCCTAGGCTGGCCTCAGGCTCCAGGCTGCCCAAGTGCTGAGATTATAAGGTTGTGTCACCGTGCCTGGGTATCTACTGATCTTTATTTCTTCTGTCCTACCTCTGGTTCAATCCTTTGGGCAAAGCCGACAAGTACCAAAAATAAAATAGTACCAAAAAATAAAAGAGAATAAATAAAAATGGAAAGTATCATGAGTAGATCAAAAACTTTTATGCTCAGAAAGTGTTTCCTTTGCTGTATGTGTCTCTTCTGCTTACTCAGGGTTACACCCCCTAAATGTTGCTGTTTACTGGGCAAAACGATTTTAAGCTAGTTTCCAGGTCCTTAATTTTAGCTGCTGGCAGGAAACAAGGATGTCCTGTTGACCCTATGGAGTTAACAAGCCTGACATCAAACGCATATTCAACCCCAAGGCCCTCTTTCCCTGATCTGAAAGCACCACCGGCTTTCCAGTCCTCTAGGCTTCCCAGTTTATCTTCATTTCTCTTTTGCCTCACTGGCAAATTCCTCATCGGGGCTGGTTTCTTTTTGCAGTAACTTTTAGGTCCACTTTGATTTCTGCCTTTTCCTTTCTCACCCCATGTCCGCCCTTCTTTCAACCGCGCTAGGATGACCTGTCTCTACTTTCAGTTTAGAACCGAATTAATGATCAACTATTTATTTGGTCAAACATCACTTTTAAATCGTTTATCTCCCTTTGTCAAAAACTTTCAATACTTCTTTTTTAAGCGCTAGCACTGGGCGGGTTTAAATTCCTAGATTTGTTATGCAAAGTTTTACCCGGAACGGTCCTTCCCCAAACTCTCTGGGGTGGGGGTAGGACGTGCTGTCCCTTGAAACCATCCCTTTCTCTCCTGGAGTCTCATAGAATGACCTTTGTTGCGCTCCAGCTTGAATTTCATTTCTTTCTGAAAACCTGATTCGATTCCACCATCCCACACGAAACTTCTCCGGATCCATGTCTTTCTATCACTTAGGGTCCCAACCTATCCTAACACTGAATTGCGTTACACCTCTGTCACTTGTCTGCGGTGGAGGTGGGACCCTACTTGCAGAACCCCTCACATTAAGAACCATCATTCAAATGTTGGCTGCACAGATGAAGGGGTTAATGGCGGTGCTGCCGGCCTGTCCTTCGTCGCTAATTCCCAGCACCCACCCGAGGCCTCCCCCGAGAAACGCGCCAAGCTCCCGCAGTGGCTCCTGAATCCACAACCTTCAGGGCCTCCAGGTACCGCGCAGAGGCCAGCGCATTGCTCCTGGAGCGGAGCCGGCGCAGAGTTCGAGGCGAGCCCACCCCGTGGGTTGGAACGGGGACTCAGGGCGCGGCGCCTGCAGCCGGGGACCCGTGCCGACCCCCGCCTTCCCCTAGCGGCCATTGGGCCGCGTCAGGCGCGCGCGGGGTGTCCGGGGCGGGGACTCCCCATCTCCTCCGCTCCCCTCCCCTATTTCCCGGGGTGGGAACTCTGGGGCGGGAGGGAGGAGGGGCCGCCGGGGGCGGGGGGTCGGGTTCGAGCTCCGCTTTATTCCGAGCCGCCGAGCTGCAGTGTTCCCGGAACCACAGTTCGCGATCATGCAGGTCGCGAGTGGCCGCAGCGGGGCTGCGTGGACGCGGGCGCTGCTGCTGCAACTCCTGCTCGCGGGGCCCGGGGGCTGCCTGAGCCGCCAGGACCTCTTCCCCTTTGGCCCCTCGCAGGGGGACCTGGAGCTGGAGGATGGGGACGACATCGTGTCGCCGGCCCTGGAGCTCAGCGAGGCGCTCCGCTTCTACGACCGTTCGGACATCGACTCAGTCTACGTGAGTGGACGGGCCGGGAGGGGGCGCCGGGCCGCGAGGGGGCCGCAAGAGCGCGGCCGGGCCAGCTTGGCGCGGGGTGAGCCCCCGGGGTCTCCTCTCCTCACCCCGCCCCGGGCGCTGTCACCCGAGCGCGCGGGTCTGGGACGCCGCCGGGTCCGTCTGGCTGCGCGCGCTCTGCGCGCCACTCCGGGCGGAGCTCTCTGTCGCGGCCGTGGGCTGCGTCGCCCCCGGGAGGTCGGTCCTCGTCGGGCCTTTGTCCTGCGCCTTTTTTTTTTTTTTTTTTTTGAGAGTGAAGTTGTGAATTTAATAAAGAAATGACAATCACTTGTATTCTTGTTAATTGAAAATATATTTCAACCCACACCACCCCTTCGATACTGGGGATGAACTTTTAGGGCCGTTCGCCACTGAGCTACATCCTCAACTTTTGTTTTAAGACAGGGTTTCACTATGCAGTTCAGGCTGGCCTTGAACTCACTGTATAGCCCAGGCTGGCCTCAAACTCACAGCAGTCCTCCTGCCTCAGCCTCCCAAATGCTGGGATTACAGGTGTGTGTCACCACGCCCAGCCTTTATTTTTTTTTTTTTTTTATATGGAGACACCCTCGGTAAATTGCCCAGGCTAGTCCTGAGTTTGTAGTTCACCTGCCTCAGCCTCGTAAATAGCTGGGATCAGCAGCTGGGTCAGCGCGTCCCAGTATCCAATGCCGGGGCCAGGGCCTGGGCGTGGTTGGGGAGACCCACAGGGCTGTGGCCAGAGTGGATCGCGGCGCCCATCGGCCTGCACTCCGTGGACAGGGGGTGAAAGGCTATCAAATCCCACTCTCTGACCCGGGAATTGAAGCGACTGCCCGGATGTGTCTTGGCAGTCAGTGCCTCTGCCCTCTCTATTTGGACTCGGCTCAAGAGTTCAGAGGTCAGGCCTGGAAAAGCAGGGCGCCTGAGTGATCCAATTTCCTGTGCCCGATTTTTATCACCCCCGGCGGGGGGAGGTCCCCAAATGAAGATCGCTGGTGACCTTTAGTTATCTGGAGTCTCCGCTGTGCTGGTCTGGGCTGGGGGCGCTGTCAACTTGGTCAGGCCCTTTTGTGCGGCTGCCTTCTCCAACCACGCCATGTGGTTTTCATGCGAAGCTGTGTGCATTCCAGGGGATCGTGGGCAGCCGAATGGCGGCCGAGGCACGCCCCGGATTACCAACACCTCGTGGAGCTTGTCGGTTTCGCCCAAAGGAGTGAATCTTTGGTGGCAACTCACAAAGAGCTCTCTGCTCTCTAGGGAAGCCGGTGAAGTATAATGCTTTAATTTAATTTTACCTTTTTTTTTTTTTTGGTACTGGATATTGGACCCTGGGCCATCGCACTGAGCTACATTTCAGCCCTCCTTTTTAAACTTTTTTTGAGACTAGCTAAGTTGCCTGTGCTGGGCTGGAACTTGGGATCTCCCTGCCTCAGCCCCCAAGAATGCAAGGGTTATGGGCTTGTGCAAGCTTAGCCCGGCTAAGTATAGCACTTTCAAATGCATGAAATGAAGTCCACGACACTACCAAATATGTTGAAATACAGAAAACACACTACATGGAGTAGCGTCCGTAATAACTTTTTTTCCCCTTTTCTTTGTTAAGTAATACTGGACCTTGAACCCATGACTTTTTTTGCAGACAGTCTCGCTAAGTTACAGTATTTTGTTGCCTACATTTGTATGGAAGGAAATGCTAAATATCAATGGTTATTTACAAATGAAATTTCTTATCCAAGTTAACCCCCTGGAATCAGCTGGCAGTGGACTGATCCAGGGTGACCTTGTCAGTCAGGGTAATTGGTTCTCCACAGCTGCTTTTTCTAATACACATTCACTAGCCATAAATTGCTATCTGAATGAATAATCAGTAGATAATACAAAAGTTTCAGCCTTCCGGTCACACTAGTCATTTCCAGTGCTGGGTTCCCTCTCATGGCCAGTGGTTACTTTGTTGGACAGTGCTGTAACAGAGCATTTCTATAGTTGCTGAGAGTTCTGTTGGACACTGCTGCTTCTGCCAGCCAGCTTGGGCTTGTCCTCCTCATAGGGATGTCAGAGAGCAAATGCAGACTCATGTCTCCTCAGACATTTAGCTCAGTAGCATAAGCGCCTGCATGGCAAGTACGAGGTCCTGAGTTCAATCTCTGGTACCAAAAATTGGGGGAAAAAAATAGACCTGTGTCTCCTCTTTGGCCTCTGTGTGGGTCATTCTGTTAACATCTCATGGACCAGAGTCAGTGGAGAGGCTAGCCACCACTGCCCCACATGGTAGCAACTGGCAGGAATGCAGGGAGGAGGAAGACCTGGGCCAGAGACTTGGAATGTTGTGAAAGATGGCCAGGAGGTCTGTGATAGGTGGGTCACATGATCTATAGCTGGTCTCCTGGTGTGCCTGTTTTTAGTAGGGCAAGTGTGACAGTGGTTTGCATGATGGCCTAGACAGATAGACAAGGGGAGTTTGGAAGCAAGAGATCAGTGCCATAGCTGCTAGTTCACCCAGAACTAGGGATGAGGCTTATGTGGGGGGAGTGGGGGAAGGGGGCTCAGAGAGGTGCTCTGAGATGCACCAACAGGATTTCTGCCAGGGCACATGTGGGCCATTAAGAAGGCAGACAGGGATGGGTGGTGGGGAAAAGATTAGCCCAGTTTGCACATGTAGTGTTGGCTGCACACAAAATATGGGGACCACAGGTGGAGAGATCCTGAGGCCAGCAGACCCTCAAACAAGCAGACAGATGTGGGAGGAAGTGGAAACCTGGTTTACAGGGAGAAAGAGGAGAGTAAGAAGATGCCAGGAGTTGACTTGGGAGTCCTAGAAAGTAACACTTGATGATGACAGTTTCCAAAGAGTACGCGGGCACAGTGGCTGCCCTGGAAACTTCTAAGGGATTTCCAGGGTCAAAAATCTTCCTAATAATAGTACTGAGTTTTGCTTTTTATGTTCTCATGCTCTCATGAATGTACAGTAGAGTTCAGCAGAAGCAACATGCGACATGCATGATAGCTATCACCAAAGATCAAATATAGAGCCAGAGATGAGAAACTAGCCTTTCACTAAACCAGACATCGGATCCATTTACAAAAATTTAAAATAATGACCCTTTTCTCCCTGAATATTTTTTGTTTGGTTTACTTTCATTAAAAAATAATGTTATATTTATGATAACATGGAATAGGTTCATTATTTAAATGTTAGAAATTGTCTTGTTACCTTTCTCATTGCTGAAACAAAATATCTGACACCCACAAGTTAAAGGAGGAAAGGTTTATTTAGCTCACAGTTTGTAGAGGTTTCAGTCCATAATTGGCGGCACCAACACAGGGTGGCTTGGCAGTGGGGTATCAAAGAGGAGAACCAGTTTATGATAAGAAGGCAGCAAAAGCAAGCAAGCAAAGGAGAAGACAAGCCTTTCTGTCCCTTATATTGCATCCAGGGTACCAGGATTAGGGTGGCGTGAAAACAACTGTGAATTGATTTAGTTATCACACACCCTAGATTCAGCCACCTCTGGAGAAAAGCCCCACCTGTGCTATGTGAGGCTTTGGAGGGACTTCTGGACTCAAACCATAACAGAAATGTTTAAAGGTTTTTCAGCTTTAATTTTTCTCAGGGTAAGCGTTGATTATAATAATATATTCAAGCACAAACTTTGAAGCGTCTTCTTAAGTCAATAAGAGTGTAACGGACCCTGAGACCACAATGTTGGAAAGTTGCTGAGCTGATGTGCTCCAGATCTCTCATGGCTAAGCCTTCCTTCTGACAGATGTTCAAAGGTGGGAGGAAAGTTTCCCTAGGAAATGTCCCATGGGAGGGGCAGGTGCCACTCTGGTTTCCAGACTTCTTCCTGTGAGCCACAGCAGGATCTCTACATGAAGAGGTCTGATCTTTCCCATGGGATGACCTCTTGTTTTGAAATAGTAAATCAGTACAGTTTCACCAATAAAACCAGCTGTTCTTTGGGCCTCATCCCAGACCTAATCAGCCCACTGGACATTTCATAGGAGCTCTGCCACTTTAGCCAGTGAACCCTGAACTCCCAAGGCAAGAGTTCTTCAAAATTGTAATAAGGTTGTAGGTTGTATAGATCAGTCAAGCATGTTCTTCCTCCCACTGCAATTTGATCATCTCAGTTTATTTATGCTAGTTGTCACATGCTGGTTGGGAATTTTCACTGGGTATAAAGAAAATCTCTAGAACATGTCATATTATTGTCTTTGATTCATAAAAATGGAAAAATGAATTAGTTATTATTTAAAATGTTTAGTTTTGTTTTAAACACGAAATTCTTTATGATATGGAGAAATAATAAAAAGATATCCTTGGTAGCAAAAAGATTGTTTGCCTCTATCTTCACCCATCTTCCACCTGCCTCCCTTTTTCTCACACACAAATATACATTATATACACAAACACCTTTAGTTGTTCACATTTACCATGGCTAACTTATGGGCACACAGGAAGTTTGCCCATTTACTAGTCAAATTAATCACTGACCAATTTATAAAGTCAAATCACTTCATTCTTAGCCTTTGTTCTGGTCTTTTCATAACATGAAGAGGTTTGATAACATTATTCCTAAGGCCCAGTTTATCTTGTGTCTTTAGTATTCTTTGGTTGAATGATCTGATGCTGAGCAAGCACATTTACTTTTTCAGGACACTGGAATTTTTTGGTTTATGTGTGTGAAATGTTAAGCTCCATCATTTACTAACTCTACACATAGTTAATTTATTCACTAATATGCTAGGTACCCTAATATACCAGTGAGATTCTGGACATAGAGATGGAAAATAAGATCAATGGATTGGTCAACTTTCCATTGCTGTGACCAAATACTTGATATATACAATTTAAAGAAGAATTTATTTTGGCTTACCATTTCAGAGGGTTCAGTCCATGGTCACCTGGCTCCGAAGCACAAACATCTTGGTGAAAGGGCATGGCAAGGAAAAGCTATTCACTTCATGGCGGCCAGGAAGCA